AGTATGAGATTGAAAAGTTCATTGGAGTGAACGACTTCGGTCTGTGGCGCTTGAAGATGAAAGTCCTATTGGTTCAGCAGGGTTGTTTAGAAGCGTTGAAGGGTGAGGCAGCCATGGACGCTGCATTAACGGCAAAAGAAAAGACAAACATGATCGAGAAAGCCCACAGGGCAATATTGTTGAGCCTTGGAAAAAAGGTTCTTTGAAAGGTATCAAAGGAGACTACAACATCGGGATTATGGGTGAAACTTGAAATTTTGTACATGACCAAATCTCTGGTGAATCGGTTCTACCTGAAGCAAGATTTATATTCATTTAAGATGAGTGAAGACAAAGTGTTGACTGAGCAGTTGGATATGTTCAACAAGCTGATTCTTGATCTTGAAAATATTGATGTGAAGATCGATGATCAAGATCAAGCACTGTTGTTGTTGTGTGCTTTGCCCAGAACACATGCTCACTTCAAAGAAACTCTCTTGTATGGAAGGGAGTCCCTGACCTTTGAAGAAGTTCAATCAGCCTTGTATTCTAAGGACTTGAACGAACGAAAGGAGCATAAACCTTCGACGGTGGGTGAAGGTTTGGCCGTTAAGGAAAAATTCTTGCCAAAGGATGGTAAGTTCGACAAGAAGAAAGGTAAAAGTCAACAGAAGTCTTATAGTGGCGAAACATCTAGGATTCGATGTTATCACTGTAAAAAGGAGGGTCACATAAGAAAGGTGTGTCCTGAACACCTGAAATATCATGGAGGTAATGGCAATGCAACCATTGTTCAAGATGACTTCGACTCATCTGATGTTCTTGTGGTTTCAAATGGCGACTCGAGGAAATAGTGGATTATGGATTCAGGTTGCACTTGGCACATGACTCCAAACAAAGAATTGTTCGAGGAGCTATGTGATCAAGATGATGGATTTGTGCTGCTGGGAAACAACAAATCTTGCAAAATTGCAGGTATTGGATCTATGAGGTTCAAGCTCCATGATGAGTCAATAAGGTTATTGACTGAAGTCAAGTATGTACCTGACTTGAAGAGAAATTTGATTTCTCTTGGTGAATTCGACAGAAAGAGATACGTTTTTCAAGGAGAGAAAAGTATCCTAAGAGTCATGAAGGGGTCGAAGGAAGTCTTGAGAGGCGCGAAGAAACAAGGCTTGTATACCCTTGAGGCTGAGGTTGTAAGTGGTTCGACAAATATTGCATCCACGAAACTTATGTCGAAGACAGAATTATGGCACATGAGATTGGGCCATGTCAGCGAAAGAGGCCTGGTCAAATTGGGGAAGCAGAACCTGCTAGGAGGTGACAAAGTCGAAAAGTTGGAATTCTGTGAATCTTGTGTATTTGGTAAATCTTGTAGGGCGAAGTTTAACAAAGGCAAGCAAAGAACACATGGATCCCTGGATTACATTCATGCTGATCTTTGGGGGCTTGGAAGGAATCCTTCACACTCAGGTGCAAGGTATTTTCTATCCATCGTTGATGACTATTCCAGAAAGCTATGGGTATTCATTTAGAAGACGAAGGATGAAACTTTTGAGAATTTCAAAAGTTGGAAGATTCTGGTCGAAACTCAAACTGGCAGAAAGGTTAAGAGGTTGAGAACCGACAATGGCCTTGAATTCTACAACGAAGCGTTCAACAGTTACTGTGTTGAGTCTGGGATTGCAAGGCATAAGACTGTAGCAGGTACTCCTCAACAAAATGGCTTAGCTGAGAGATTCAATCGAATAATCCTTGAAAGGGTTAGATGCATGTTGGTTAGTGCTGGATTGAAGAATGTGTTTTGGGCGGAAGCTGTTTCGACAACAGCTTACCTGATAAATAGATGTCCCTCGACTGCCTTGGGAATGAAGACACCTGAAGAAGTTTGGTCGGGACACCCACCTAGTCTCGACAGACTTAGAGTATTTGGCTGTGTGGCCTATGCTCATATTAGGCAAGACAAGGTCGAACCTAGAGCTCTGAAATGCATGTTCATGGGATACCCTGAAGGAGTCAAAGCTTATAGGCTATGGTGCCTAGAGCCAGGTCACAGGAGGTGTATCACCGGTCGAGATGTAGTTTTCAATGAAGCAGAGATGGCTTTCAAGAAAACTGATGATGCTGACGAAGAGCTGGAATAGGGAGAGATTCCTGTTGAGGTGGAGCATGTTGATGCTGAATTATTTACCCTAGATGAAGTCGAAGAAGACACAAAAGATGTTGTCGAAGATGAGGAGACTGATAATGACTACCTGCTAGCAAGAGACGGGTCGAGGAGAGTCATCAAGCCACCTCAAAGACTTGGGTATGCAGATCTTATAGCTTTTGCCTTAATCTCTTCAAGTGAGGTTCTAGACGAAGAACCTAGAAACTATTAGGAAGTTATGAGGAGTCGAAAAAAGACTGAATGACTGAAGGCCATGGATGATGAGATGAAATCTCTTCATGATAACAACACCTGGGAACTGATCAAGAAACCTGCTGGAGCCAGGTTAGTCAGCTGTAAATGGATTTTCAAAGTTAAGGAAGGAATCGAAGGAGTGGCGTCGAAGAGATACAAGGCAAGATTGGTTGCTAGGGGGTTCACTCAGAAAGAAGGTATCGACTTTAATGATGTGTTCTCTCCTGTTGTAAAGCACAGATCCATTCGAATGTTGCTTACCATGGTGGCCCAGTTCGATCTTGAACTGGAACAGATGGATGTGAAGACTGCGTTCTTGTATGGTGATCTAGATGAAATAATCCTGATGAGGCAACCTGAAGGGTATATCAAAGTGCAAACTGAATAGATCTTTATATGGACTGAAACAATCTCCTCGACAGTGGAATAGGAGATTCGACAAGTTCATGGCACACATAAGTTTCATCAGAAGTCAGTTCGACCAATGTGTTTACTTCAGATTTCGACCGGGTAATTCATTTGTTATTTTGTTGCTATATGTGGATGATATTCTAATAACAAGCAACAATGTCGAAGAGGTAATGAGGGTGAAGGCTGAACTCAATAAAGAGTTCGACATTAAGGATCTGGGAGCTGCGTCCAGGATTCTTGGAATTAACATCCGGAGAGATAGAAAGTAGTCGAAATTATGCTTATTTCAAAAGGCATGCCTACATAAGGTTCTCGTAAATTTTGATATGTCGAATTTAAAGCCTGTTGTGACTCCGACAAACCCTCAATTCAAGCTGAGTATAGATCAGTGTCCCAACACTGATGTTGAAAGAACTTATATGAATATCATTCCATATGCTAACATAGTAGGTTCTTTGATGTATGCTATGGTCTGTACTAGACCCGACATAGCATATGCAGTAAGTCTTGTAAGTAGGTACATGATGAATCCTGTAAAGGCTCACTGACAAGCATTGAAGTGGATTTTAAGGTACATGAATGGGTCTCTGAATAGAGTCTTAATTTACGGTGGAGCCTTGGGTGAAGATAGTAAAGCAGCAATCGAAGGATATGTCGACTCTGATTATGCAGATTGTATGGATTCCAAAAAAATCTCTCTGGATACATGTTCACTATGTTTGGGACAACAATCAGTTGGAAAGCAACACTTCAGAAGGTCGTTGCCTTATCAACCACTGAAGCGGAATATATTGCCCTAACTGAAACTGTGAAAGAAGCATTGTGGCTTGAAGGTTTTGCAAAAGAGTTAAAACTTCAAGGTCGAGTTATCACTATTAAATGTGATAGTCAAAGTGCAATACACCTGTCGAAGAATTTAGTCTATCATGAGCGAACCAAACACATTTATGTGAGGCTGCATTTCATCAGAGGGGTAATCGAGCGTGGAGAAGTCAAAGTGCTGAAGGTTTCGACAGATCATAATGCTGCTGATATGATCACTAAGACGTTGACCAGTTGCAAATTTTTCCACTGTATGCAGTTAATAAAACTGCATGAAGAAAGTTAGTTTCTTGATGTTACAAAGTTAGATCCAAGGTGGAGATTTGTGAGATGTTGGATCGAACTCTAGTATGGTCGAAGTCTGTTTGCGAGTAATGTGTGTTGTAGTCAAAGTTTATTCTAACATGCATTAGTCAATATTGCTAGGGTTGTTAACATGTTGAATTGGGTCTTGCTTGTAAGCCCAATTGTTTAAGTTAGCTTGTACCTTAAGTTAACTTGTAATGGGTAATTGTTAAAAAGTTCGTTAGGTTAGTGTGTTATTTTGCTTATAAATAGGATACTAGTTTCTCAATCTTGACATAAGGAAAAAATAGGAAGATAAAATTCTAATTTCAAGGGAGAAGTTATTTTGTTATTCTTGTATACTTTTAATCTTGTTCTAAGAGAAAGGAAAGAATAACAGTTTAATAATCAATCTTTGTTGCTTTCTTCTTTATTAACCCTAACCCTTGTGTGTTTCTTAAACACAAAGAAACAGTATATACTTAGTTTAAAGGTATCCGATTCACAACAATAGTTCATAACTCAATCATTCTATTAAAAATTATAAAGGGCCACTTGACGATCTGGTGGGTGTGACCTGACAAGTCATGAGTCTCACCGGGGTCATGAGTCGCCCGATCCGATCCATCACACCTAATATTTTTAATAATTAATTTTAATTTATTAAGTAATAATTGTTAATTTTATGTGTTCTTTCCACGTCTAGTATTTTCAAACATGGTGAGATGCATGTCCAAACAAATTTTCATGGGAGACCGCATGTCAGTTTGATTATTTACATGTCATGTTAAGACAGTAAAGAAGGGGGAAAACCATGTTATGTCCCTTTACTGTTGCACAGACCCATCCATCCTACAAAATCAAGTAACTCTCTCCTTATCAAACAGAAAGCCATGATAAAATAGTAAAAGAGTGAGAAAAAAAAAAAGGATTCTATTAATTTCAGTCCAAACTATGCTAAGTGGTTCAAGCTCATAACCATATATTTTATGTAATCACCACCAAGAAACACTACAAACAAGACATTATTTCACTTTTTAACACCTACTACAATTTTGAAAACTAATGTTTCATATGGATTTTGAAAACTAATGTTTCATATGGAAGCAGCAGCATTTCCAGGAATGAATTTGACAGAAACACTATTGACACAATGACGTTCATCAGTTGGAACTTTGAACCCTTCTCCTTTGAATACATGACCCAAATGCCCCCCACATGCTGCACATGTTATCTCAGTCCTCCTCCCATCTGGATCAGGCTGAAAATGCCAAAGTAACTTCCATTATAACAATTCAATTCCAAACCTTCAACTATACACATTTTTATTCTAGAGCACGGAAACCAGAAACACGAGATAATTACAAGTATCGGTTTCAATTTTGAATACTTACGAAGCGATTGATGGCTCCAGGAAAACCCTCAAAGAAAGCTGGCCAACCACAGCCAGAATCAAACTTGGTAGTAGACTTATAAAGCGGTGTTCCACAGCCAGCACAATTATAAACCCCTTCTTCATAAAACTTGTTATACTCTCCCGTTCCCTTCAATCTGCACAATGATAAAAATTCCAACTCTTAAATTGAAATTCACAGTCACAATAATATGATACAAAAAGAAGAAATTGAGAAATTATTACTCAGTTCCTTTCTGGCGGAGGATGCGAAACTGCTCGGGGGAAAGAACGGCTCTCCATTCTTCCTCGGATTTCTCGATTGGCGTAACTGATGATGCCATTGATTTCGATTTTGATGTATGGTGAGGAAGCGTGAGTGCAAAAGAAATTTATAGTGATCAAATTGGAACATGGTAATTAAGATTTGTGAGTATTTCAAAGAGAAAAGTTTTGAGAGGAAATGAACTTGGACGGAAAATTGGGAAATGGGGATGGAGGGGATAAACGAGAGTTAGGGCCACGTGGCATAAAATAGGTTCGCTTTCCCGTTACTACACTGTTAACGTTATCATTTCTTTGACCAGGAAAACATTTTCATTGACGGCAGGAATCCAATTCTTTATGTTGATCTTTTAACTGTTTTTTTTTAATTCAAAAACACTAACTCCATGTAGTATGACGGATGGTGTCGGTTTTCTTAAGGATCCGCCATTTCAATGGAGCATTTTTTTCGTTTTTTATTTTTGTAATTCTGATTTTAGTTAGTTTTGTTATCCATGGTCGGTAGCAAGCTTAGATAAAATGGAAAGATTAGATTAGTCGATCAGCAGTCAACATACGAAATAATGTGAATGACAGGTCAATGCTCGTAAGCAATATAATGTATAATTTAAGTACAATGTCAAAAGAGTAAGGGTTGTTGCATCGTCGTCCGGATATAGTGAAAAATAAGCAAGGGTTCCCATATTTTCTTGAACGAGTGTGGGTAAAGAAGTTAATTCATGAGAGAATGATTCGTTTTGGATCATGGAATATAGACACACTTACTGGAAAATCTATGGAAATAGTGTACGCTATGGTTAGAAGGAAAATCAATTTTATGTCCCTACAAGAAACTAAGTGGACAGGTGAAAAGGTGAAAGATTTAGACAACTCTAAATTTAAGCTTTGATACACCGGAAAAGTTAGATCGAAAAATAGGATGGGGATTATTATGGACAAGGAGTGAAAGAATGATATTATGGATGTGATAATAGTAGGAGATCAAATAATACCCTTGAAATTTGTAGTGGAACAAGACACGTTTAATGTTATTAATGCTTACGCATCTCAGATTAGGTTAGCAAAATGCCTTAAGGTAAAACTTTGAGAGGATTTAGAAGGTTTACATCAGGATATACCTCAAGGTGAGAAGCTGTTTCTAGGAGAGAATCTTAATGGACATGTAGGTAGCTTATAAAGAGGTTTTGAGAGCATGCATGAGGGTTTGGCCTATATGGGATGAATGCGGAGGCTAAAATCCATCTTGGAGTTTTCGTTTGCTTTGGATTTTACTATAACAAATATCGGGTTTAAGAAAAAGATGAACATCTTATCACATATAAAAGTGGAGTGACATATTCTTAGATATACTTCTTTCTTATCAAGAAGTTTGATAGGAAGATTTGCTTGTACTATAAAGTAATTCCGTATAAAGAGCTTGACTATCCAACACAGAGTTTTGGTTATAGATGTAAGAATTAAGGGGATAACAAAGAGAAGCAGTCATATGGTAACACCACGAATCAAATGTTGGCATTTGAATGGTAAAAAACAAGAAATTTTCCAACATAAGATCTTGGATGGAGGGTTTGGACAACCACAAAGAAGTGCAAATGATATATGGAATAAGATGGCTCAAAGGATTAGAAAAAGTGGCTAAAGAGACGTTAGGTGAATCGCGAGGTTTTGAACCTAAGGATAAAGAATCATAGTGGTGAAATGAAAGTGTCCATAGTAAAATTAAAGTAAAAAATGATTCTTATAAAGATTGGTCTAGGTGTAAAAATGTCGAAACGTGAATAAGTACAAGAAAGCTAAGAATGAAATGAAGAAGGTAGTGAGTGAAGAAAGAATCCAAACTTTTGACAGATTATATAAATCTTTAGGAACCAATGAAGGAGAACAATTTATATATATAGGCTTGGTAAGGGAAAAGAAAGAAAGACTTGAGATTTGGATCAAGTGAAGTGTGTTAAAGATGAATAATGAAAAGTCTTGGTTCAAGAAAAATATATAAAGGATAAGTGGAAGACGTAATTCTACACCCTATTTAATGAAGGATATGATATCTCACTAGACTCTTACAAACTCGACATTAGAGAAGCATATCAGAACTATAATTACTATTGTCGGATTCAAAAACAAAAGGTAAAGGAAGCTTTGAAAAGAATGAGTAATTGTAAGACGGTTGGACCAGAAAACATACCTATTAAAGTGTGAAAAATTCTTTGAGATAGAGGTATTGAGTGGCTCTCTAAACCGTATAGTAAAATTATGAGGTCAAAAAACATGTCGGATGAATGGAGAATAAACACTTTAGTTCTAATCTATATGAACAATGGGGCATACAAAACTATGCAAATTTTATGGGGATTAAGCTTATGAGTCATACCATCAAGTTGTGGGAAAGAGTGATTAAATGAAGATAAATAAAAGAGACTTAAGTCACCGAGAATCAATTTGGTTTTATGACTAAAAGGTCTACCATGGAAGGGATTTATCTATTACGGCGTGTGATGAAGCATTATCAGATGAACCAACAAGCCCTGCACTTGATTTTTATTGACTTAGAGAAGGCATGTGATAGAGTGCCTAGAGAGATTTTGTGGAAATCCATAGAGAGGAAAATGGTTAGGATTGCATACATCTGAGCTATATAGGATATGTATGAATGGGTATTGACTAGTGTGCAAACGCAAGGTGGAGAGACAGACAATTTTCCCATTACAATTGGTTTGCATCAAGGTTCAACCATAAGTCCTTACCTTTTTACCTTAATTTTGAATGTACTCACTGAAGACATCTGATAACATGAAAACATATAGTATATTTCGACCCGATTCACATGTTATTTATTGTCTTTTTATTATATTTCTGTACTATTATGTCGTGTTTTATTTACATTTCAGGAACTTATTGAATATAGTGTTTATGCGAGAAAACCGGAAAAGGAGCAAGAAAATGAAGTTTTTAGCATAATTTGTTGTTTTCTTGTGTATGGCGTTCGCCATACACTCTTGCCACGTCATAAATGATTTAAGCCCATGGCGTTTGCCATGATTGCACAGATTCAGCAGAACATGGATAACAACCTGAACTCATTCTTCTTCACTTTCCTACATTCTCTCAACAGTTTCTACACGTTTTAGAAGCAGCTTTACAACATTTGGCCACTATATAAGAGTGTTTTTTTCTTAGTATTAAGCATCCAAGTTCGTGTGTGGAAGCTTTGTTAGTTTAGTTTTAGGCAAATACTGTACTTTCGAAGTGATAATCTCTTACATTGAGAGGTTATCACATCATTAGTTTTAGGACTTATATTGTACTCTTAGATCGCAATCATGCCGGCATAATTGAAGTTATTTTGTTTTCGTTTATTGCACTCGAAGTATTCCAATTTTAATTCAAGTTTCACAGGTTTTTATATCATTGCTATTAATTTATATTTATCATATTTTAGTTTATTCATCATGTTGTCCTTGATTTCAATTGCTATGAATTTCATGTTTAAGTATCAATACATTTTCGGCTAAATATCTTTGAGTCTGGTATGTGAGGACCGTCGTTCTGACGGGACTCGGTAATAAAATTTGGCGTTAAATTTTCATAAATTTCTCTTCTGGTTTTAATTTTCAGTCTTAATTCAAATTGTTTTACACGAGAGTGAAAACAAATAAAGGTTCGAGCCGATAACGCAAGAGTGTGAGGATTGAACCTGATAGTGAAAGTTAGACATTAGTCTAAATATAGCGAGAGCGCTTTAGGTATCAATTAGGACTTATTTAGTTGTTAAAAATGTTTTTTGATTGAAATGGGCGAGCGAGAGCAAAATCTCATGGTTAGAGAGTGTAGCTTTAATCAATAGCGCGAGAGTGTGAGATGAAGTTTTTAAACTGATATTTTCTAGTGAAAGCAATTTAACCGTAAACTAACGCCAATGAATTGCAGAGTCCCTGAGGTGTATAGAATCCACATTTCGGTCTCTCTTATTTGATATATTTACTAAATCTTATTTAAATTTTAGTTTTAGTTGCCCCTAATTTGAATATTCATTAGCCTTAGTTTTACACAGTACCAATAGATAACAATAGATTGATTATTTGTCCCTGCGGGGTCGATATCTTTTAAAACTACGCGATAGACTGTATACTTGCAGTTAGATAATCTGATAGTCTCATAAAGTCATGATCAAGTTGTTGGCGCCGTTGCCAGAGAATAATTTAGTCAACATTGTGATTCCATTGTTGCGCATTATAGACTAAGGCAACAAATTTCTTCTTAATTTGTCGATTACATGACACGCACTCGCTCTCAAGGCGAAGAGTTAGAACAACCGATTGACCAAGTCAAGCATTTTAGTAACCTAAGACGCTGAATCCAAGAATTTCGAATAAAGTATAATCTTCCTGATCCAGATATCTTAGAACCAGAACCAGACCCAGCTATGGTTGAAAATGAAAACCGTCCTCCTAAGGAATATGTTACTCCATCACAGGATGAGCCACACAATAGCATTGCAGCCCCTGCCATCAATCGAAACGATTTCGAGTTGAAACCTTTATTGTTATAAGTCGTACAATAAAACCAGTTCTCTGGTAGCCCTACGGAAGATTCGAATTTTCATTTATCAAAATTTGTGCAGTACTCAGACACAACAAAAGCAAATGGTGTTAATTCTGAAGTCATAAGACTACGTCTTTTTCCTTTTTCTTTAAGAGACAAAGCTAGAGCTTGGCTCCAGTCCTTACCATCAAACTCTATCACTACATGGGACGAGTTAAAGAAAGTCTTCTTAGCAAGATACTTTCCATCTAGCAAGACTGTTATGCTAATAACTCAAATTAACGGATTTAGGCTGAAAGATAATGAATCTCTTTTTGAAGCTTGGGAGAGATACAAGGATATGTTGGGGCTTTGCCCACATCATGGACTTGAACCATGATTGATTATCCATACTTTCTACAATGGTTTATTATATAACACCAATTAAACATAGACGCAGCAGCTGACGGCGCTCTAATGGACAACCCCTATGAAGATGCATATCAGCTCGTTAAAAACATGGCACAAAACCACTTCC